GTAAAACAAATGCAAGATCCTGTTTTGCGGTCTCTTGCTTGCGCGTGTCTTTTGCCTGTGACGGGGATGTTTATATCCGTGGACACCGGGCACTCAAAGATCTGCTCCGAGAAAATCGGGCAGGAGCTTCGATCGGATCCGCGTGAGATCTAGAAGCTTTAAGCGTCTATCTGCGGCTAAAACGAGATATCGAGCTATTCTTAGTAATTACCGCGAGTAATACTAAGGAAAAGGGGGGAAATGGCGTGATGAAGGCTCTGATGTGGACCTCTCCTCTCCCTGTTGAAGCGTACGAAACACTCTTCACCTGGCAGCAGGCTTCGCCAAAAGGCTCTCCAAATCCCCTTCAAAAATGAGGCCCAAGGGTCTTTATAGGCTAGGGGGCTCCTAGGTGCCTAGAACCCTAGGGTGTCTCAAAAATCCGAGACACATCCTAGGGGTGTTCGGAAAGTCTTCGCGAGACACCCCAAGGGTGTCTCGGAATTTCCGAGACACCCCTTGGGGTGTTTTGGAACTTCTGAGACTCCGTAGGTGTATTTGATTGTTTTCCCCGTAGATTCTTCGTCCGAACTCGGATTTGAGTGATTCCGGGTGCGTTGGATGCTTGACGAAGAGTTCGATCCGCTCTGGTGGTTGGATTATCTGTAGAGTGGTCGAGGCACGAAGGGCGTTGTCCTTTTTGTGAACACCGCTGGGTTCCCGATTGGTCCGAGTCTTGGTTGTTCCGAAATCCTATAAGCTCACGTAACTCGTCGATTCACTTAAGTCGTTCGTCGACGTCAATTGGACTCCTGTGGCTCGGATAGTGACGTTCATCGTCGCCCTTTAACACTGAACCGTTCATGGAGACCTATAGGCAGTTTTCGATGCCTACAACTACCAAGCGATGTGGACTCTAGAGGTAGCTCCTACGGGCTCTAGAGGTAGCTCTCACCACACGGTGTAACACTTAGCCCCGCATAGCAATTAGCTCCACACTTCTGGCTGGCAACTGCTCTGATACCATTTGTCACGCCCCGAGCCCATGGGTCCGTTGGCGTGTGCAAGCCGTGGGACCTATCGAGTGTAATGTGCGATTTGGCTCAAACCACTGCCAAAATCGACTAGCCATTGTTACACTTGAGTCTTAAGCTTTTACATATAAACCACTTAATATTTTGTTCCCAACACGATGTGGGACTAAACTTTTGTAGAATCGGTGGGATGTCACAGAAAAACTTATTATTTTTTAGTTCTATTTTCTTACAATATAGAATGTGATACATATTTTATTAGTAAGCTCTATGATATAATTTAGAAAGTTCTAGCTAGAAATAAAGAAGAAAAAAGAAAAGAAATTTGTGCGAAATGATCAAATTGTCTTTATGTCTACGATGAGATTCATGACATGTCCTTCAACGTTTTCTATTTTTTCTATGCTCACTAAATTTTTAGGGAAAAATGCTTCCACCCCTCAAAAGCCAAGAAAACGTGCTTTCCATCCCCAAGACTTTGTCAACGGGTGTTTTGCCCCCAAAAATAAAGAGTTTGTTCTCTGACCACCAAAACACAAAACCCAAGAGATTAAAAAATATGAAGACCATAATACCCTTCTCTCTCTCTCTCTTTCTCTTTTTATCATAATGTACTGAGATGATAGTTAAAATGACTGAAAAGGATTATTTTATTATTTTTTATTTTTTATTATTTCGTTGTTGATGAGGGGAACTAACTGTTTGTATTGGAAGATTGTTAAAGTTAGGGATTAATTGTTAAGGTTACGATTTAATTGTTAAGGTTACGGGTCAATTATTAAAGTTATTGATCTCTTCTCTCTCTCTCTCTCTCTCTCTCTCTCTCTCTCTC